GGGCCGTAGTTTGCCCACCCCTGGTCTAGGCCTAGGACTAACTTTACAGCATTCATCAACTTAAAAAAATACCTTGCTACTTTTCCTACCAACTAGAAAGGTTGCAGTTGCTAATAGAACTAAACTGAGAAAAATATAGCTTACCTTTACATTTCAAACAGATGTTAAATATTTTCTTATTCTTGACTTAAGCTAGTTATGTAAATCACAGAAAGTCAGTTTTTTCACTATTAGGGTACCTGTCTGCTATAGAGAAACAGGAAATAAGAATAGGATTTTACCTCTTTAACAGTGAATGCTTTTCTCTCACATCCCCTGCTCCCAGGCAATACATTCAGAAAAGTATATGTTAGAGAAATTGTGTCACTACAGTCCTTTTCATTTGCATAATCAAATACAAATATGCAAATATACATTTTCCAGAGAAGAACATTCAGATAGGTAAATTCTGAGTCTAACCATACCCTGAAATGTGACAATTTTTTTTTTCAGATTTACAATATTGAGGAATATTACAAATATTTTCATATTATGAAAATGACCGTATTCATTTGAAGGATGCATTCCTACACATCAAAACTACCTGAAAGTATAATGTATCCCTAATTTAATTCTGATCTTTATACTAACCTTTATTATCTGAATCTTTACTCAGAAAAAATAGATCTTATTTGATTGTTTAGCACTGCGTTAAAATATTAAGACTTATTTTTCTGGGAAGGTAAAGGGACTTTACCTGATTGAGTTTTGCTGAAGCTTCAAAACTAAGTTTCCATATATGCAAATCTGAAAGATTATATAGCTTTCTTTATGAAGAAGATTATAACTGAATAATATTTATGTATTAATTAAACTTGCATGTTGCCAGATTCCCAATCACAGTAGAATATTTGATCAGTAATATATTTCATTTAAAAATTAAGGGGTCAAAAATGAACCTTGGATTGCTATTACTGGATACATGAACAAATAATCTGACATTTTATTATATGCATATTTGACTAAAAAAATTACACAAGTTCAAATCAAATACTGTACCAATCTCTTACAAAGGTTCTATTTATTCAATTGTCACTTTTTAATGTAAATATATGGATCTAAGGCCCCAATCATATTTTCTGCTTTTTTTTCAAAAGTATCCATGTAGTATTCATATCTGATGGAACAGATAATTATCTGAACACAAAAGAAAAAGTAGTTCTCATTTGAGTTTTATAAGAAGTTATTCATTCATAAATGAGATAAAATACTTAAAATCAATTTTTATTTTACAACATGCAAAGAGATACGTCATTTTATTAAACATTCCTTAAAAATGTATTTGGTGACAATGTGAAGATGATGAGATTTATTGTGTTATGAACTTTGGAATTGGGTGTACTTATGTGGACCTAGGTGCAAATACATCTGTTTGTCATCTTTCTGCAATATCAGGGTAATATTGCCATCTTTGTATAATATTAATAATTTTACAGAAATAGTTTTGTTCTCCACTAAAAGTTGCATAAATGACTCCAATTTTGAATTTCTTTGCAACCTGATAAAGTAGGTTAGGATGGGGGGAAACAAGTGGCCAAGTAAATAATGTTTTGAAGTTGAGCTTTCATGTAGTCTACAGCCAAAACACTAGCAAAGCATATAAGCACATATTAGTGCATTGGCTGTGCGGGGATACTATAGTAAAAACTCAATTTCAAGAATATCTGTGTCTATAGGATACAATATACCATATCATAAAAAAGATACAGCTAATTAAAAATTGTGAATGAATGGTGTAAAAGAATATATGACAATAACAATACCATAATAAAGGAAAAATACAGTAGGCACCATTGGCAGCTACCTTGCTTGCTTCCCCTGAGCCCTGCTCCCTCACACTAAATTTCTGGCTTTTAGCCAGAGACTAAATAATACAACCAATTCATGTTAATAATTTTGACTGTTTTATTTAAGTTACCCTATCCCAGGACTCCCTTAACGCTGTTTGAAAATTAGGAGGGTGAAATTGAAGAAATTATCAAAGAGAGCACCTACCAGCATCCACGACTTGTTCTTCAGTCTGGGAAGCCTGTAAATTCTGGCAGTGTTTCTCAACCTTGGCAGCTTGTGTCCCAAAGGTGGTTTTTCAGGAGGCAACTGGACTTTCTTGTTTTTTCCTTTAGATGTTTCACTTCTCATCCAAGAAGCTTAATCTTCAGCTCTGACTGGATGGTGGGGAATGGAAGGATTTATATTCCTTGCAAACAGCTGGTCATTTGCATCCTTTTAGAGGGTCCTTGAAGCACTTGGAGATCTGTGTCTTCAGGGACACGTGAGTAGTGCTCCTGGTTCCTGTAGTCTGCATTTTTTTTTTTCCTCTGGAAATCCATTCCTACTCCCACACCATTCAAAGGGTGCTCATCCCAAATTGTATAGCTAGAAGTCTGTAGAGATTCTCAGTCAACCTGGATGCCTGGGAATCTCTACAGACTTTTGACAATATGTGAATTTCGGTTCCTAGAATTCCCCAAGCAGCATTCTGGGAGTTGAAATCCACACATTTCCAAGCTGCCACAGCTGAGAATCACCTAGTTTGGTAGTCTGCACGTTCCGGCTCCTCGGTTTCGAAACGTGCGACTGGATTTTTTTCTGTTTCTCTTCTGATCTAACCCATATTTGGCAGGGCTCCTGGCAGAACTATAGGTTGCGATGAGGCGCAGGGCGGAGGAAAGATATAAATGTAGCGGGGAGGGAGGCCAGGAGAATTAGCTGAGCCGACTTCCTCAAGAGGCTAAGCGAGAAGAGCTAGCGAGCCAGCACTCGAGCGAAGAGCAGGTAGTAGCTAGGAGGCGGCTCCTGGAAGAGCCGGGCCGGGATGAAGGCTGCAGCGTGGGTGCTGCTAGGCTGGGTGCTGAGCGGGAAAAGCTTCCAGGGAGAAGTCCAGCCGGTAAGCGATGCGCCAAAGTGCCTGCGCTTTTTCTTCCCTGCGTTGGCCTCGAGCCTTGCCTCTCCCCTGCTCGCCGCAGAAATTGGGAAGCTTTGAAGAAGTTCAGGCATTAGAACTTCTGCCTGGAAAGTGGCTTTCAAAAGGTTCAGCGTTCCTCTTCTTTGGAAATGTTTGGTTGCCACGCAGGGCTTTGGGAGACCTTCTTCTGCTGAAGATTTCAGCAGAAATACCTAGGAAGTCTGGCTTTTTTTTGGTATTATGAATATATAAATTGATATTAGTTGACACCTCAGCAACAGTCTGTTATCATAGCATGCTTTAGGGAAACTACTTAAAAAAGAACTGAATTAGCCTCAGCCTGATGCAAATAAACTTTTGAAGACTTAATTCTGAAATTAGGAAATGTTTTTGAGTAAAAGTGATCAGAGATTGGGGATGAGATGTTTACTTGATGGAATTGTAAAAAGGCCAATAATTTCTGGGTTCAAATGCATATAACTGTACAAAAAATGTCAACATTTGGCTGAAAACAGTGTTCTTGTTGGAATTAAAGGAAAACAATTAAAAAAGAGCTATGGAAAATTATTTTTTATATATGATTCCTGCTGCAAGATATCTTCCATTATCATTGGCATGCTGTTATCTGCATTCCAGCAAGTTATGGGTTTAATTAATATTTTAAAAATATTTTAATTTTTTTAAATGCCATGTCCATAGCTAACAGTAAATTAACTTCTTAACCCATTAGATTGAGATTATACTTCTCTGACTGGTTAACATCCATTTTGCCAGTGATTTTTTTAGGAGTGAAAAATGATGAAGGTGAAAGAGGAATGAATCCATTTATCTAACTATGAACACCTTTGAGGAGAGGTGGAATATAAATGCAATCATAAATTAGTCTGCATTTCCAATTCTTTTGCTCATCAGTCAGTCAGTCTCATCCCCAATCTCTGATCACTTTTACTCAAAAACATTTCCTAATTCAGTAATTCAGTCATTTCTATAGCAGCCCATCTAAATAAATGACTCTGGGCAGCTTTTAATTTTCCTAGAAAGTAACGTTCTATTTATTACATTTCGTTTTCTTTTAATCCTGGTTTTCTTTTTCATTACAGCATATCAACTGCTATGAAGAAGATGGTATGTATAAATAAGATGTGGTTTTAGGTGTTAACATTGTGAAAATTCTGTATTTGACATTCATGCACCTCATTGCCATTGTAGGTGGTTTAAAATATCAATATGTGACCTTGTGCATCGAACAAGTATACTCATCATATGCCTGCTTGACTTTTGCTCTTCCTTGACGAATTTATCATTCCTGGAGATAATGTTTAATCTTTCCACTCCAATGCTTTTGCATAAAGCAAACTAAATCCATAATGCTTAAAGAATGCAATGATGTTGATTTCCCTGTAAATAAATACTAGTGACTTTCTCAAGGGAGTAGGCTTTAGAACATGACATTCTTTTTAATGTTATATTGTGATAGTTTTACTGTTAATATCTTCAGTTGTGAATTAGTAGTGGAAGAAGTGAATGAAGAAAATACAAGGGACTGGCAGGGAAGGGTGAAGTCATGACATGACTTATACTTCCTGAAAGGTATTACTGAAATGAATCAGGTATATAAAATGACTCATAGGAAGGATGGGTTTGGATTTGGCATGAACCGTATAATGTATTCCAGGACATCAAGATCACATTTCCAACATTTGATGGAAAAAATTAAATTTCAATGTAAATATTTGCACTTTGAAAAAAATAATGTCATTCCTATACAAGAAAAATTGTTCATTTTCTGAATCAGAATGTATTCTGATGGCAATTTTAGCCATCATAAAAACTTAAAACAGACATACAATAAGCAAATGATCTTGGGAATCACATTTCAAATGGAAATTTATTGATGACAATAAGGAGGATGTTTCTGAGGGCTAAATTAGTACACATACATTTCTTGAGTTATTTTGATTCTTCTTACGTCTCCTTCAGGAAAGGTATGAGGTAAAATGGCTGCCAAAGTCTATTAAGAGATCTTTAATTCTAAATCTTCTCACTTGGAGGAAGGTATAGGATAGCCAAAAATATACTGCAGCTGGACTTTTACTGGTAAACTCTCCAACTCCTATAGATGTTAATTCTATGGCTGTTGGCTTTTCTATACCCTTTCTAGAAGGGTAGCCGAGGCAGCAGACAACTCTAAATGACATGTCCACCATTGTGAATTTTTCTGGGGATGAATGGTGGTGTTCAGAGAAGGAAGAGTACCTCATCCAAGGCTTCAAGGCCTTTGCAGGCTAGTTGGGACAGCCTAATAAGCTGGAGGTTTTCCCTACAAATATACTCACTCCTCGCTTTCATTTTTTGTAAGGGCCTCATCCTGAGTTGGAACAACAACATAGATTCACACCAGCAGATGTTTTTAATATCAGCATCAAGATTGTTGAAATACAAGGAATATGCAAATTTAACATAACTTGGATCCTTAATGCAGACGGTAAATTTCATTATTTAAGTAATAGGCTGATAAATATTTTGTATTAAATATAACGAATACTTTCCAATATAATAAATACTGTAATGTTCACTTGTAATATGCCCTTCCTACCATGATTGGGAAGTAAGCAATGTTGTGATTGTCTTGTTTTAGTTCCTGAAGTCTGTGGGCTTCGAATGGAGAACAACAGGCCTTCGCTAAACCCTGATAAAACTAAGTAGCTCTGGCATTTTGGGCCTTCTGGATCTAGGGCTTTACCATCTTTGATAGTGGATAAGTTGGTACCATCCTATACAGACCTGGTGGACAATCTGGAGGTCCTAAATTCATGATTTCTGCTTGAGGATCAAGTGGCAGTTTTGGCTGGGAGAGCCTTTGTACAATTTCATTTTGTATGCTAGTTGTACCCTTTTCTGGATCATGAGACTGTGCTCAGAGTTACACCTTGGTCACCTCTAGAGTGGATTGCTGCAATAGGCTCTGCATGTGGCTGTCTTTCAAGAACATTTGGAAGCTTCAATTGATAAACAGTGTGGCTGCACTAATAATTTTATGTGTCGGTAGGATGGCACACATTACACATTTGCCTCATGAGCTGCAATGGTTTCCCGGCTGCTTCTGAGTACAATTCAAGGTGTTGATCTTGGCCTATAAAGCCCTAAATTGCATGAGATCAGGTTTCTTGACCCTTTTCCTGCTCTGCTGCAGCTTTTACCGTCTAGAACAGTGATGACGAACCTTTTTGGCACCAAGTACCAAAAGTGCGCACATACCCAAAATGCAACACATGCCTCCCCGTGCATGCACCCACCCCTGCGCATCTGAAGAAGAGACCCGAAGAACAGCTGGCCGGCAGGAGGCGCACGTGCATGTGCAGCGGAGCTGAGCTGGGGCAACAGTGCATGTACCCACAGAGAGGGCTCTGTGTGCCACTTGTGGCACATGTGCCATAGGTTTACCACTGGTCTACAACATTACTCCCCTGAGGTGCAGTTGGCGCTATTCCTAGTAGCCTTCCAGCAAGCTTTAAAGTGTGTTTTTCCAGAAACCTTGGGATACCCATGAGAAAGCTGCAAGGTGGTTGTATGGTGTTAGGTGATTGTTCTTCCAATCTTGGCTTTTTCATGTTTTTATTCTATTTATTTATTTATTTATTTATTTATTTATTTGTTTGTTTGTTTGTTTGTTTGTTTGATTTGTCAATTGCTTACAAGATAATAGGTATAAGTATATACATAGTTATGAATACATGAAATGGGTACATATAAGAAAAATAAAAGAAACAATAGGACAGAGATGGTAGGCACGTTGGTGCTCTTATGCACACCCCCTACAGACCTCTTAGGAAAGGGGTGAGGTCAATAGTAGACAGTCTAAGGTTCAAGTTTTTGGGGTTTGGGGAAGAAACTACAGAGTCAGGTAGAGTATTCCAGACATTGACCATTCTGTTGCTGAAGTCGTATTTCCTGCAATCAAGTTTGGTGTGGTTAACCTTGAGTTTGTATCTATTGTGTGCTCTTGTGTTGTTATGGTTGAAGCTGAAGTATTCATTGACAGGTGGGACATTGCAATGTATGATTTTATATACTATACTTAGATCGTACCGAAGGCGGCGTAGTTCTCGGTTTTTAGGTCTAGAATTTCAAGTCTGATGGCATAAGGTATTCTACAACGAGTAGAGGAGTGGAGAACTCTTGTTGTGAAATATTTCTGGACTTTCTCAACTGTGTTAATATCAGATACGTAATGTGGGTTCCAGACTGATGAGCTGTATTCGAGTATTGGTCTAGCAAATGTTTTGTATGCTCTAGTTAGTAGTGTGATATTACCAGAGAAAAAGCTACGTAGGATTAGGTTAACAACTCTTAATGCCTTTTTGGCTATGTAGTTACAGTGGGCTCTAGCACTTAGATAATTAGAGATGAGTATTCCAAGGTCCTTTACAGAGCTTGGATCATCAACAAGGTCTTGACTATTCAGCTTGTATTTTATTTTCTGATTTTTTTTTGCCAATATGTAAGACAGAGCATTTATTTGTTGAGATTTGAAGTTGCCATTTATTAGACCATTCTGATACATAGTCAAGATCTTTTTGAAGGGTAGCAGTATTGTCTGTGGTATTGAACAGCTTTATATCATTAGCGAAGAGAATGCAGTTGCTCTTAATATGATCACAGAGGTTTCTGATTTAAGCTCAGTCTTTTAAGATTGGTTGTGTTGTTTTAATTGTTTCTGTGTTTGCCAGTCATGTCTCAAAGGTGCTTTTTTAGGAGGCAACTGGACTTTTTCCCTTTTTCCTTTGAGGATGTTTGGCTTCTCATCCAAGAAGCTTTTTCAGCTCTCCCCGGATGGTGGAGGATGGGAGGATTTATATTCCTTGCAGACAGCTGGTCATTTGCATTCTTTTTAGAGTGCTATTGAGGCCACTTGGAGGTTTATCTGTATCCTCACGGTCACCTGAGTAGTGCAAGTGTGTGTGGAGCATTTGTGGCTGCAGGATGTTTTCCATTTGGGACAACCATGACCTGGATGACTGAGAATCTCCACAAACTTTCACCAGAGTCATGTTTTGTGAGATGAGCAGCCATATAAATTTGTTAAATAAATCAACTCAGTAATAAAAAAGTAAGGAAATATATTTATGCTTCTGACCTGTGCAATTAAGTTAAGCTAATTGAAATTCTGAATGTGGAAAGCAGTAAAGTTGACAAAAAATTAAAGTTCGTGAGAAATAATCTCAAATATTATCTATGCTGATTTATGAAAATTTTCTCCTGGATTTTTTTAAAAATATTTTTTAAATGTATAATTGTAAGAAGGTATGTAAATAGTCAAGAATCATATTGAGATTGGAGGAATGTATAAACCCAAATCAGTAAATAAATAAATGTAATATTGTTAAATTCTCAAGTAATGAGAAATTCCAGGGGAAGTATTATAAAGTCAGCTTCTTTTTGATAATACATTTCAATGTCCTTTTTTTTTATGATAACGAATATATTACAATGAGCTTGTAATATTTGTTGTATTTTAACACACAAGTAATAACAAACATACAAGCTCACTATATACACTATAGATCCAAACAGGGGTGGGATCCGATCAGTGTAACTACTGGTTCAGTGATTTTACATCTGTCTTGTAGAATTTTCTGTGTCATGAATTAATTTATTAGTAAAAAAAAAATTTTTTTTACAAACAAGTAACTAGAAAACTGAGTCATGATCTGACTCAAGTATCTTGAAGAAATTCTACCTTTAAGATTTTCTGTTGATAGTCTAATCAACTGCACAGTAATTAAATGGCAAACTGACAGAGCAGGAAACTGAATTCTTTGAACAAATGTGAAAAGTTATTAGAAGAATGTAAATCTCTTTATTGCTGTCCCATCTGGCAGAAACATCAAATCAGAAAAGAGGACACAACCTTCTTTCCTTAACCTTTTTCAGGCTTCTTCTTGGCTCTGTGGCAATAGGGTAACTGAAAGTACTTTTAACTTTTTTTGGTGTTGCTATGTGTATGTTAACAAAAAGCTTTTTTAAAAATAGGAAGCACATGCAAACAGATATTTTCTTAATTTTTTTAATTGGGGGTAGGAGGATTAAAAATATACAGTTTTCCCTTGCTGTTTCTGTTTTCTGATTCCTGTCTGATTTGGATATGCAACAAATAGAACAGAATAGTGTGGCCAAGTGTGATTGGACACACAAGGAATTTGTTTTGGTGCAAATGCTCTCAGTGTACATAAAAGAAAAGACACATTCGTCAAGAGTCAAGAATCATCAGGTACAACATTTAATAATAGTCATAGGGTACAACACTTTGATTACATCTAAAATCCAGCAGTAAGAGAACAAATATATATTTCAGTATTGGAATCCATGTAGATAGATGTATGGAATAGGATGCAGAATTGGCTCAAGGTAGTAAAAGTAACCACAAATCTGCCATTGTATTTGTAGTAGTTGGAATGGCACTGTTACTGATAACCTCTTGAAAACAAACTAGGATACATTGACAAAATAATTATCTTGCAGCCAGTATAACATACTTGAAGGCAACAAAGATATGTGAATTCTATCATGGCTGTATTCGATGTGACTACTTAGAAGAATTTCAAAAGCAAACTATGTCTGAGCATCAAAAAGTAAGCGTTTTTTTTTAAAGTTGTGGTTTGCTGCTGTTACGTTGTGCTGCTAGAATATGATTTTAGTCAGTTTACTTACCTAATGCAACAGTAAATTATTTCTTTTAAGACAACATGGTGAGTTGGAGTAGAAATTGTTTCTGTACAATAGAACAAAAATAGTGTACTGTAGCTTATCTTCTGAGCTGAAATACAAAAATCTATTTTTATGTAAAATTATTGCGAGATAAAAATAAATTTCAGTGCTCCAAATGTGCTCAAAGTTTCTGTTCTTTAATATATGTTTTTGCAACTGGCTCTGTTGGTGGATATTAAAGTATCATAAAAATGGAAAATTGACTGAACTATTGAATTTCCACTTTGAATAAAAACACAATTATTCTGAACTTTTTGGTACACTTAAAATCCTACCAAATCCTATTTTGGACAGTAAACAATAATGACCAGTAAATAAATAGTAACTCAAGATAAATTTTGAGGCAACTTAGATTAAACATCTAAATATTATATTGCTTATATGTGCATATTTAATACTTACTGAAGTCAAAGGTTGAATGTTTACATACTTAGTTTACAGCATGTCTGATTACAAAAGCAATTTAAAAAAATCAAAATTGTAAAGAACAATAGTACTAACAAATTAACCCTCCCTCAAGATAAATGGCAATTAAAGTTAGGATTGAAGGTCCAGTGAAATGAAACTGTCTTTAAAATTCATAAGGTAAGAAGGAAAAAAAGAGAAAAAGAGAGAAAAAAGAAAAACAACCCAGTAAATAAACAGATAATTTACAAGAATGATGGGACATTTGTTAGTTAAGAATTTTCAATATTTTACAAGTTTTCCCTAAAGATAATATCTTACATTGATTTTTAAAACTGCAGGTCATTGTTAAAATCAAATTAAATATCAATGATAATAATCAGTGCACAATAAATCACAAATAATCATACTACAGTAATTTATATCCAAACATTGAAGGATACATTCTTTTTTTTTTTTAAAATTTTTATTGGTTTTTAAGACAAACATAGACAAACAAAACATAAAAACATCAAACCATCTTCCATATATATACATACAGTGTGCCGGTTGGTTTACAAATTGTTTTGTGCTTCCATTTCGTAGTCTTCAATTACAATTACATTGTATATACTCTCATATTTTCAGTCAAATATTAAATACATTAATATCATTGTTAATCAATCATTTGACTATACTTTTATTCATTCATGTTTTACGAAATAATCCATATTTTACTTAATTTGTTTTATGACAGTTCATATTATCATCTCAAATCTATCCTACAATCATTTTGTAGATATAATAAGAAAAGAATACATCTTTATATATTTATTATTTTCTAAGAATCTACATATTTCATTACCATGTTTTATTGTCTAACCATTGACAGAATAGATCCCAAATTTTATAAAATTGTTTATCTTGTTCTCTGATTTCAAATGTCAATCTACTCATTTCAGCACATTCCAATATTTTCTTAATGATTTCCTCCTGTAATGGTATTTTCTCATTTTTCCAGTTTTTGGCAAATACAATCCTAGCCGCTGTTAATACATTTACAATCAGGTATTTCAATTCTTTACTATATATTTCAGGTAAAATTCCCAATAAAAATATCTCTGGTTTCAAGTCTATATGCTTTTTTGTCATTTTTTCCAACCATGTGTGGATTTTAGTCCAATATTTTTTGGCATCCGCACAAGTCCACCACATATGGTAATATGAGCCAGGTATCTGATGACATTTCCAACATTTTTCAGATTTTTCTTGAACATTCTTGCTATTCTTGTTGGGGGAAAATGCCACCTGTAAAACATCTTATACAAATGTTCTTTATATGCTGTTGACATTGTCATTTTATAATTTTGAGACCACAATTTTTTCCATTTCTCTAGATCAATCCCATATCCAAAATTCTTCCCCCAAGCAATCATAGTTTCTTTAACTTGTTCTTCTTCTAGTTTAATTTCTAATAAATATCCATACAATTTTTTAATCACCTTTTCATCAGTACCTGTCAAAATCTTATCTAAGTCAGTCAGTTTATCATAGAAACCTTCTGTTTTAGAATCTTTTTCATACCTTGAATGTATTTGCGCATATGAAAACCAATTCATCTTTATTTCATTCAATATTTCACCATATCTAACTGTTTGTTCCTTTTTATATATTATAGGATAAGAAAATGCTTCAATAGTCGATAGCCAGACTGGAATTTTCAAATAACATTGCCTTTTAGTCTTCTCCCAGTTTAACCACAGAGACTCCCGTATATAATGTCTTCTAAAATACCCCTGTGTTTTAGTTCCTTTATACCATAGAAAAGCATGCCACCCCAACAACAGCATATCCTTCTAATGTCAACAATCTAGTATTTCTTAATGTTATCCATTCCTTAACCCACATCAAATTTGTAGCTTGGTAATACAAACTCCCAATTAGGCAAACCAAATCCTCCTCTTATTCTGCATCTTGCAAAAGTTTTAACTTTATTCTCGCTTTCTTACCTTGCCATATATATTTCAACACAATTTTATTTAAATCTTCAAAATAATATTTTCCAAGCCTAACTGGAATTGTTTGGAACAAATATAAAATTCTGGGTAGTATATTCATCTTGATTGTTGATATTCTCCCTATTAATGACAGTTGTAAATTTTCCCATTTCGCCAGATTTAGTACTATCTGCTGCTTAAGTTTGATATAATTATTCTCTTTTAGTGTACTACATCTTGCTGTCAAATGTATCCCCAAGTACTTGATCTTATTTGTGACCTGAATTTTCAATACATCCGCCAGTTCTTCCTTTTGTCTTGATAGCATATTCTTTGTCAAGATCTTTGTTGTATCTTTATTTATTTTCAAACCAGCCACCTTTCTATATACCTCTATCTTTTCTATCAATTTTGATGCTGTTTCTAGTGGGTCTTCTAAAATGAAAACCAGATCATCTGCGAATGCTTGCAACTTAAATTCTTCCTTTTTAATTTTCATCCCTTTTATATCCTTTTCTTCTCTAATATTTCTGTTTAACACTTACAAGATTAACACAAACAACAAAGGTGATAGTGGGCACCCTTGTCTTGTTCCTTTTCTTATATCGATAGAGTCTGTCCCTCTATCATTACCTTTGCCGTTTGGTTATGATATATAGCTTCTATTGCTTGAATAATTTTTTTTACCAAAGCCCATCTATTCCAGCTGTAATAACATGAATCGCCAATTCACATTATCAAATGCCTTCTGTGCATCTAAAAATATCAAAGCCATTTGTTTTTCAGGATGTGCCTCGTAATATTCCAAAGTGTTCAAGATTACTCTCATATTGTCTTTAATTTGTCTCTTTGGCAGAAATCCATTTTGGTCAGATGGATAAAATTGTTTAAGTATTTTTTAAGTCTTTCTGCCAAAATTGAAGAAAAGATTTTATAATCTGCGTTTAGTAAGGAAATAGGTCTATAATTCTTGATTTATAATGGATCGGCCTCCTCTTTTGGGACAAGTGTAATATAAGCTTCTGACCATGATTTGGGTATCTTCTTCTTTAACATAACTTCATTCATAACTTCTAGCGATGGAAGGTTCAACGATTTTTGTAGTGTTTTATAAAATTCTGCCAGAAGTCCATCTGGGCCTGGTGCCTTTCCATTGTTTTGCTTCTTAAGTGCTTCAGTTAACTCCATCATCGTTATATTGCTTTCTAACATTGTTTCAATCTCTTTAGGTATCTGGGGTAGATTAGCATTCTGTAAGTACTGTTTAACTCTTTCCTCATCAATATTCTCTTGTGTGTATAGTTTCCCATAATAGTCTCGTATAATTTCCTTCTTCTCTTTACTACCATAGCAAACTTGGCCTTGGTCATCTATTAATTGCAATATTTCCTTGATTCTTTCTCATTTCTCAATTTATATGCTAACCATCTACCTGGTTTATTTGCATCTTCAAAATAGTTCTGTTTCGCACCTCTGATTTTCTGTGCTAGTTCTTCTTTTTCCATTAGTCCCATTTTATGTTTAATTATATCCATTTTTAACTTAATGTCCTTTTTCTGTGGCATTTTCTGTAGCTCTTTTTCAAGTCCTTTATACTCATCCTCTAATGCCTTAGAGGCTAGTCTTTTCATGGTATTTCTTTTCCTTGTATAGTCTATTATCAAGCCTCTGACATATGCCTTCATTGTATCTCATACGAGGATAAATTCTTATTTAAGAGATTGTTAAAAATTAGAATACTATGGTTTTATTTTAAGAGAAATCCTAAGGCTGGATGTGGTTCAAGCTGATACATGGAATTATAATTTAAAAAATGTCTTTCCATTTGAATTAACTTCTGTGTCAGATTTTATGATGGGGATAACTCTTAACAAGACTTCCCAAAATGGTTTGATCAAATAGCAGATTAATTCTGGCAAGATAGTGCTTGATATAAACCAGATTTAGACCAACAAACTGCATCATGTATGGTTTTTGGAAGCAACAACTGCTTTCTAATTTTTTTATTCTGGGCAAATAAACATGCACTTAGAAATCCCATTATAATTTTTTTTGTGATATTGTCATCTTAGTATTTCATTAATGTACCAGATCCAATCAGTAGTGGAAAATGGAGTAAGTGAGGAGTATACAGTATATGTATAATTACATTGTGTAAGCCAACTTGAGTTGCCATGGGCGAATAGGCGGCAATATAAATTAAATGAATAAATAAATAAATATGCTTCTGATTTGCTTGCATTTCTGAAAGAATATTGTTCAGAAAAAGAAAGTGGACTAGTTCATATCCAAAATTATATAACCTTCTAATTACAGTGGCAATTCAACTTTGTTGGATTTTCTGTAGAAGAAAATACTAATTACTTCATTGATGTTTATAACCTTCCACCAGCAAATATAAATGAGGATCATTCAAAAATACAGAAACATCTAATTTCTCCAGGTAAGTGATTAAATAGTGTTGATTTACAAATTTTCACCTTTAAATAGCTTCTGTAATTTTAAGGTGATATATATATATATAAATATATAAAACTGTTATACATATACCGTATTTTTCGCACTATAAGATGCACCTGACCATAAGACGCACCTAGGTTTAGAGCAGTAGTGGGATTCAAATATTTTTACCACCGGTTCGGTGGGCATGGCTTGGTGGGTGCGCTTTGCACACATGCACACACTTTGCATGCACACACGTGCCAAACACGTACTTTGTGCAGGCGCAGAGGCATTTGCGCAGGCGCAGACTCATTCTAACTTACCTCCTGCAAGCCTGCACTCTCCTGGTCGCTTCAGCAGCTGCTGTGCAGCACTCTGCTGTGCCGCGCAAAGCAGCTGTGCTTCAAATTCACAGGATAAAAGTGAATATGGGAACCTGCGCGCACGGGTGAGCCCAACAGCAGAGCAGCAGAGAGAATCAGTTCTGTCTCTGGTGCTCATCACCGCTACTGGCTCAGCAGAACCAGGCTGAACCAGTCCGAACCGGTAGAATACCACCACTGGTTTAGAGGAGGAAAACAAGAAAAAAAATATATTCAGAGTACTGTGAATATGGAGCGCTGAATATGGAGCAGCAGTATAGTGAGGGCAGGAGTCAGAGCCTGAGAGGACCACAGATAAGTGTCCTCTCATGTGCCAGCTCTCCTATTGACTCCTGCACTGCAGAAAAGAGACAGAAGAGGCAGGCAATGACAAAGACAGAAGAGCACTGTAAAAGCAGATGTGCTATTCAACCGGTTCGCACCTATTTGGGCGAACCGGTAGTGGTTATTTGGCATGGGTCGCCGAACTGGTGGCAATTCCTGGCTGTCCACGCCCCCAAGCTGGTCGCCCGGTCGCTCACTTGCGATCGCTCTCCTAGCTTTCAGTTCCCCACATCCTCTTTCTCCCCGGGGAAAAGGAAGAAAGGCATGGACGGTGCAAGTATCGCTTTCCCCGCATGAGTTAAAGTGTCGGGAGTGAGAAAGAGTGCGGTCTGACAGAGGGGGTGGGGGTGAATCGAGCCTTGGAGCACTTTTGCAACGTAAAAGAAATGCATTTTGGAAGTAGGTCTTTTAAAAACTTCTCCAAGGATTCCCCATGGACGCTGCAAGTATCGCTTTCCCCTTGTGAGTTAAAGTGCTGGAGTGAGAAGGAGTGCAGTCTGACAGAGGGGGTGGGGGTGAATCGAGCCTTGGAGAAATTTAAAGGAGCTGCTTCCACAATGCTTGTCTGTTAAGTGCTGTGTGTGTGTGTGTGTGTGTGTGTGTGTGTATGAGAAAGAAAAAAAGAAAAGAAAAGAAAGAGACAGACAGAAAGAAAGAAAGAAAGAAAGAAAGAAAGAAAGAAAGAAAGAAAGAAAGAAGAAAGGGAGAGAAAGAAAGAAAGAAAAATAGGAAGAGAGAGAGAGAGATAAAACTCTGTGCTATTATTTTTAATTGTTCCATTATTTATCATGTGTTAATATTTTACACTGTCCCTACACCTAGAGTGATTTTTCGGCCTTCTTTTGCTCAAGGCTACCACATATTTTTCAGGGTTTACATGCATTCAATGTCAATAGTCCAGAGCATAAAATACACATGTGTTTAACAAGAGTTGAAAGGGACCTTGGAGGTCTTCTAGTCCAACCCCCAGCTCAGGCAAGAAAACTGAGGATGCCAAACTCTGAGTAGAAATCCTGGGAAAGGTGTCAGAATAACACTTAGAAGGGACCTTGGGGGGAACCCTATACCATTTCAGAGAAACGGCTGTCCAGTCTTTTCTTAAAAACTTCCAGTGATTGAGCACCCAGAACGTCTGGAGACAGGCAGTTCCACTGGTTAATTGTTCTCACTGTCAGGAAGTTTCTCCTTAGTTTTAGGTTGCTTCTCTCTGTTCAGTTTCCATCCATTGCTTCTTGTTTGCCTCCTGGTGCTTTGGAAAATACATCCCCCCCTTTCTTTGTGGCAGCCCCTTAAAAGCCTGTTGCCTATATTACACTCTTGAGTAAAGATGTGAGCCAGTTCCTCCTTTCAGTGGTCCATGAAAGTACATCTATAGTATGCAGATGATAAAGTCAAAAAAGGTCAACAACATTTTTACAGAACTATAGATAAGTTGAGGCTGGGTGACAAGGAATGTCTGGGAGGGGAGGGGCCAGGTGAGGCACCCCTTGATGTGAGTGACATTGGGTTGGCCACGCCCACCCAGTCACATGACCACCAAGCCATGCCCACCCAGTCACATGACCACCAAGCATGCCCACCCACCCAGTCACATGACCACAAGCCACGCCCACCAAATAAGCCACGCCCACAGAACCGGTAGTAAAAAAATTTGAATTCCACCACTATGTAAAAGGACCCTGCCACTGCGGCCCGACTGCTGTTCACCAAAACTTCACAGTCTGTGATACACTCCATAAGACGCACAGACATTTCCACCCACTTTTTTGGGGGGGAGGGGGTGAGTCTTATGAAGCGAAAAATATGGTACTTAAAAGTAATGGGTCCAGCTGAGTTTTGTTTGATAACTAGAACAAGCATGATATTTAATCTAGTGACTTAGAATGTGTTCATTTGCTCTTCGGTGGCTTATGCTTTCATGCAGTTTTCCTAATCTTTATTTTAAAAGTTTTTTTTTTCTTATAACTGGAATCAATTGATTTAGATATTATAAATGTTCATAATTTCTAATGCAAAAACTCTTATTTAAATTCAGACTGTGAAGATAATAGCTTGAAATATTGCCAAAACTGTATAGAAAAAGGTAAGCACTTATTTTCATTAATTCATTACTCTAAGGGTCATTAAAATTTATTATAAAGCATATATCAAGATATTAAATGCAATGGGGACCATAAACTATGACTCACAAATAAAATGCCAGGGAATCCAGGGGCACCAAGAGGATGAAGAGGCTTTCTATTTTTGGTTAACTACAGAAGAACATTTGATTATGTTATTTTTCCTGCCCATTTTAATTAACAGCCCTTAACAGCATTTTTGCATTTATGTATAGCTTTGTAACCTGTTAGAACTAGAATCTATGTGAGGAAATTGTGCATTACACTAGTATACAATCATGGCTTTTCAATTCAGTTCTTTTCTAACTGATGTAGGCAGTGTTAGCAATATAAAATTCTGTCATTATAAGATTTCAATTAGAAGTTATTTTAAAAAAGCAAACTCATTTTTTCTCCTATTTGCTGTTGTGCAGGACCAATATAGTCCCTGGTTAATGCCGGTTGAGGAATTTGTTTGTTTTTGTATCTATTTAACATTTTTATAGCATGTCCAGCTGAAAAGACTCTGGGAAGGTTACAAAAGGAAAACGGGGGCTGTTATCCTAACACATATGACAGGCACCAGTTTAGTTTTTCTTTTATTTACATTCGCCATCTCTTAATCAGAGATCCTGCTTGTCTTATGTAATTTAGTTGTGGTTAATTTTACTGTTGTCTTTTGGTGCTAGGAAACAGATTATTCCCCCGTTGCCCAGTCTGAAAATATCAGATTTATCATTTCATGCAATAATTGTCACTTAAAAGTTACCTAAAATTACTTGCAAAGGGATGTTCTCATAAAAAGGAATAACCGGTATATGTTTAAAAGTCATGGGATAATTGTGAAACATACAGTAAATACAATAAACACATTAAATTAAATATTTCTAAAAACTATTATAACAGCAGAAAAGTGCTATATTAATCTGTTTTTTCTGTCCAGGATCTGAAAGCCATGTGTGCTTTAAAGTAAAATCAATGAAAACATCAATCATATTTTTTAATCTGGATTTATTTTTAATTTCACAGGGAGTTTATGGGATCCAAATATAACAATATGTAACAGGGAATTTGAACTAGAAGTGAATTTTACACCTAGTAACTTTTGTTCTAAATATAAAATCCATCTTTGTGACTCTTATGAATGCAATAATTCGATTCTTCATGCTGTGCCTACTACCAAGGTATATTTTTTTCTTCTTTAGCTATAAAACTAGGAATGAGTATGATGATTGTGAGATTATATGACTAAGATAAGAGTTGAACACAGATGATACCAGATTGAATAAAGTCAAAATTAATGTAAATATTAGCTTTTGAAAAACATCATGCAATTACAAGCTGAACAGATAAGAAATAAAAGTGTCACTTTTTTTAAAAAAAAAGTAAACGTTTTGAAAAGTTCTGTAATACATTTATCTTGATTTTTTTCTTGGAATAGGGAAACAATATTAGAGTTTCAGAAAAAATAAGAATGAATGATCAAGAAAGATACATAATATTTAAAGAGGTAAGATTTTATTTTTGTTTGTAAGAAAAATGTTAAATTAGAAGGGTTGTATGAATGTTTCTGATTGATGGCCCAAACATTGAAACACAAGTTACACCTGATGCTATCTGCCTCATCAATGTGTATGAGGGGATAATTATTCAAATAAGCTTTGACAGTACTATCTTGCTACAAGAGGTCATAGTTTAATGGGCATTTTCTGGGAGGGTTAATCATTTTGCAGGAAAGGAGCTTAATAGCAATAGAATTAGACTTATATACCACTTCATAGTGCTTTAGGAATTCTATCCTATAGATGTTTCCTCCAACAACAGTTTATGCTATTGGAATATATGCATATATAACCAAAATTGATTTAATTTTTATGGGACATGCCTTTTATATTTTTAAACTGAAAAGTGCAGAATGGATCTCTTTTCTACAATTGTATTCTCACAGCTACCTTCTTCACTGTTGTTAAGAAATTTTCAGTACAAAATTAAATATAAAAGCAATGCTTAAGCACTGTATTTAATAATAATATCAATGTTATTATTATGCTTTTCTTCTTCCAGCTAATTCCTTATTTTCCAGGATGTCAAAATGACTGCAAAAGATACTCGTATTATCAAACAGTTTGCAATGAAGAACGTATCCCTGGTTAGTTGAAACTTCTAAATGTTTATCTATGGATGGAAACATTAAGCTTTATATGCTAAGGTAATTTTCTTAGTATAAGCCTAAGATTGGCCAATGAGATCATTAAGCTCATTTAGGCAGCTTCAGACAGCTTAGACTCTATTTTCTTACAGGTTTGTGAGAATAAAAGAGCTTGGAGGGTAAGGAAAAGAACTATATTAGTTGCTTTGAGCAATTTTATAGGAAGAGCAAGAGATAAAATAATAATCTTGGTGGATAAGTAATACAGAATACAGAATAACAGAGTTAGAAGGGACCTTGGAGGTCTTCTAGTCCAACCCCCTGCTTAGGCAAGAAACTCCAGAAAGTAACAAAAACACTCAAATAAGCAGGCAGCCAACACCCATAGTATGTAATTCAGTGATAGCCCCAATGTGACTTGGGTCAGATTTTGACTAGAAGATGGGGAGAGAGGCAAATATTGTACTGATGTGTTAACCATGAATAAAAGCATCTTCATTCAGGTTTAGTTTTTTTGTGCGTGCTGAAAATGTAGCAGATAGTAGATGGTATAAATATGATTGTACATAATTAATTCAAGCAATCAGAATTCCCCCTCTCTCTCCCCCCCCCCCTCTCTTTTGCAGAACCAAATTCTACAGCTTTCATAGTAAACAAACTAGGTATTGGATAATGTTCTGTTCAATTTCAACATTATTATGTGATGCCAATCATTGTATAATGTTGTAGAATAGTCATAATGAGTAAATCTATCCCATGTATTTGAATAAGTGGCCTTCAAAAGAAGCCACAGAAACAGGAAGAATTTTCCAGCAGATTTCAACATATACAGCATGTGGAAAAGTACCAAAAAGAACACATTGAGAAAGACACATCAGGAAGATAAAAGATGATTTCCATGGGATAGTAATATTCTCATTGAAAAATGCCAGTATTTATTAGAAAAGTGTTAAGGTGGGAATGGTCAAGATTCAATGGAATATTCGAGTCTTGCACCTCTTGACTTACAACCATTCATTTAACGATTTTTTCAAAGTTTTCATGGCACTGAAAAAAGTGACTTTGACCAGTCCTTGCACTAATGACCAGAATAGCATCCCTGTGGTGACGTAATCAAAATTTACTATTTGGAACCAGTACCCAAGTATTTATCACAGGTTCAGGGTCCCAGAGTCATATGATTGCCATTTGCAACTTTTCCAGAGGCTTCCAACAAGAAGTCTATAAGGAAAGTCAAATTTGTTCATTGACTGTGACAAGAGAGATCATAAAATCAGATGTAACTCATGACTGTATCTCTTAGGGACAGAAGTTCTGGTCCCAACTGTAGTTATAACTTGAGGAGTACCTCTGTTGGAAGTTATAAAAGTTTATGGGAACCATACGCTAAGCTACAAGAAGATGACAGCAGAAAAAAAAAAAACCACCTTTCTATATGCTCCCCAGAATGGTCTCTAAACTGCTTATTTAGTTATTTTGTTCTGTATCTTTTAATTTAAACCAGATCATGATAGCCTTTATCTTTAGCTACTCAGTATTTTATCAGTTCCATGTCAGAAAAAAAGAAAAGAAGAGAGTTTTGTTAGGTTTATATAAAGATAAATTTATTTCTAGGACATTGTGAGTGAAGAAGATAAATTCAAATGATAACAGTGTAAAAAAGGATAATAATATGAAAATCACAGGATAATAATATGAAAATCACAGAATCACAAGGCTGCAAGGAGCTTTGGAGGTCTTCTAGTACAAACAATTGCCCAAGGCTAATGTCCTTATACTATCGCAGATAAATGCTGTTCAATCTTTTCTTGAAAACCTCCAGGGATGGAGCATTCATAACTCCAGGAAACAAGCTGTTCCATTGATTAATTGTTCTTAGTGTCAGGAAATTTCTCCTTAGTTCCAGTTTTGATCTCTGTTTAATGAGCTTCTACTCATTATTTCTTGTCCTGCCCTCATGTGCTTTGGAGCAGGGGTCGCCAACCTTTAGGACCTCAGGGACCACCAAATTCATAATTTTAAATCCCACAGACCACTGATATGAATTTTGACTCATGGTAGTTTGCTGACGTTGGTGTGTGTGTGTGTGAGAGAGAGATATGATCTAATTTTAGAGGGCTGGTAGTGATGTTCTCTCTCTCTCTCTCTCTCTCTCTCACACACACACACACACACACACACACACACACAGAGAGAGAGTTCCCTCACACATCCCCACCCCCTCTAAGGTAGCCACATTCCTAACCTGCTCTTCAGCTCTGTTCTCAGGGGAGAGGGAGGGGGGGTATTCTGCGATCGATAGGAAAACAGGATGGGGGATTTTCCTGCAGAGATCCTGGGAAAATCCCAAAAATGTCTGCAGGAAAATTCCCCTCCCCGCTTTTCTATCGATCGTTCTTTATTTGGGATCACAGGATACCATTTCTAGCTCCGTTTTCAGGGGGAGAGAGAGAGAGACTTTTGGCTTCATGCAAGGAAAGCAGCAGAAGTCTTTCTTTCTCTCCCCCCAAACTCTGCCAGAAACGAGTCTTTGCCAGTGCAGCCTCTTGGAGCAGGAGGCCTTGCAGGGTCCCAAAGACTCATTTCTGGTGGAGTTTGGGGGAGAAAAAGACTTTTGCTGCTTTCCTTAGGTGCAGCCAAAAGCAGAAGAAGAAAGAAGCGGAAAGAAGCAGCCCGGTGGCCAGGCAAGTTCCCACCCTCCGCCCTTTCCCCTCTCCCCTCACTACCTCGTGTTGTTCCGACTCAAGCCTTGTGTTCCCGTGGGACATGTGGGCGGCGCAGCCTTGTGTTCCTGCGCAGCCTGTATTAATTGCTTTGGGGGGGGTGCTCTGGGGGTGACATTTCTCTGTGGACCACCAAAATTTTCTCGCAGACCACCAGTGGAGAATAGATCAACATCCTCTTCTCTATGATAGCCATTCAGTTATCATGTCACTCCTAATCCTTCTCTTTGTTAAGCTAGTCATACATCATATGGTTTGGCTTTATCATCTTTGTGTAATGAGGTAAAGAGAATGAAGAATGAATATCCTTTGAAGAGAGGATGCAGGTGCATGTTGGGGAGGAAGAAAGACCTGAAACTCCTTATTTTGATTATGACATAGAGACATACAGTTTGTTAACTGAACATATTATATAGCAATTAATGACCAGCAATTAAGAGATGGGCTAAGATCAGACTCTGGGAAGAAATCTCCAAGGAAAAAAAAAATAGACTGCCTTAGTAACACAAATTGCAAAACTGTCCTGAGAAGGAAAATTGCTGTTCAGGATGTTATAGAACCCAATCAATATAGAGAAGATTCCCAGGATAAGACTTATTGGTGAAGATATATGGATGTATGAGTGCATGGAGTTTTAGTTTGGAAAGTGAGTAAGCTTAAACCCATATTTGGCTCTATGCATTCTAAAAGCAGTAAGTCCTGGAAATGTCGCAAAGATCTTTACAGTCCTCAGTCTGACATAGGCAGCCTTTGGTTGCCAAAGAAAGACTTTCTTTGTCTCTGGGCATATGCTAACAAGATACATTGACACTGAATTAGTGTCATTAGTTCTACATTTTGGCTGGCTACCATTTTAGATATTTCTGGGACTTTTTCTTTTTGACCTTTTGAGTGGGTGATTGTGATGATGGTAGGATAAGCAACATATCTGTGGCCAGAGTCAATATTTACGTTTTGGGGAGGTTGAGAACTACAACTTAGAGCCAGATGTAGCAAACAAGAAGGTGGTCTCAGTTCTTAGCAGAAGGTTTTGTGTTGTGTTTTTTAATGGCAATACTCCTGTTTTAAGCTTTCACTATGGCAGCGGTGTCAAACTTGCAGCCCATGGGCCAGATGCATCATGTGCTGGCCACACCTTTGCTCAGTTTAGCAAAGGGGGAAAAAAATTGTGATACGTCACGTGACAACAACGTTGTCACAAGTTTGACACCCCTGCACTGTGGTATTTACCTACTTAGCCTCCCAAAATTGCCTACCAATTGGCAGGTTTCAGCAAAATGGATTGCGAAGCATCAAGTTGCCTATTCCTAGTTTAGACCATGATCAGAAGATTGCTTTGCTGGTCGTTGTGAATTTGGAGACTGAACCACCCATGTTATTCTGACATATTTTAGATTTCCCACATCTTCTCATTTAAACTCTAATATCTCACCTCCATCTGTGCTGTATCACCACTTCCATACATAAGAATGCATTTTACAATATTTTGAGAATTAGAAATAGCAATTGCTCATTTTTTATTAAATTAAATTTAAGCTTTTAAAAGAATCTTGCAATCTTACAAACCTGTTTTCTTTCTCATTTAGATATGAAAAAAACATATGTTGGCATATCCATCACTTTACTTCTGATTGTGTGCATAGTTGTTGCTATGCTTTATTTCAAGAGTAGGCATGGTAAGAGCTTATCTTATTCTGTTTTGTTTATAGTCCCTCCTCTATCTTCTGTCTACAACTGAAGACTCAGAAGATTGAAATGTAGGTGCTACTTTGACTTTTCCTGTCAACTCTGAGACATCTGGGAAAAAGGAAGTACTCTCTGAATCCAGATTCTTGTCTAAATTCTAAGAAACTGCAGGATTTCAAAATACAGATGGAGTAACATTTACTGGGAAAATAACAAGTCCTGTGACATCTCAAACACTAGCATATGCAAATAGATCTGAGTATGGCACATATGATTGGGAGGTAGGCAGATGAGAAAGAATGGAGAGAATGTTTAAAAAGATTAGAGCAAACATTGAAAGGAAAAGATACAAGCAGTTACAATTATTCATAGAAAGTAGCTGCTGCAGAAAGTGTTAAATGTGGCATATAATAAATTTTAGTTTTAATATGTAAGAAATACTGTAGTATTAAGCCAGTAACTCGATGACAATATTTCTAGTCCAGCTGCTTTTCACAATGAAATGTTTCAAGTGAAATTGAATAAATAATTACAAGCATGAATTTTAAAAAAAGCCGCTCAGTCGCGGCAGATGCCGGCTTTTGTAGCCAGTGCTGTCCAAAGCTTCAGTCACTGATGGGGCTTTATTTCTCCCACCAGTGGCTAGGCCAATGAGTGGAGAGTCTGCTAGCCGACTCCACTCTATGGCCATATTTGGCAATACTTAACACCCCTCCCCTCCTGGTCAATATTCCGCCAATCAGCACCTGCGTACCTTATGTAACGACGTAGGTAGGCGGGGCTTCGGGAGGTGCAGCTGGACCTGCGCACCTCACTTGTTCCTGGGGCAGCAGCCCGAGCGGACGGGTCTGCTGCTGCTCCAGTTCCTGCCTGTGGAACTGTCTCGAAGCCATCATGGTGTGGCAGGGACCGTTGAGCCTGAGACCTCAGAAGTACACCGCAGGACCTCCTCTTCAAAAGATAAGTGTTCCTGCATCTTGTCCGGGTTCGAGGCTAGTTCATTAGTTCTTGTTCTGAGTTCTGTTGGCAGGGCATCTGCTAGGGACCGTTTCATTTGCTCGTGTTGGTTTTCTGACAGCCTGTCTGTGATCGGGATTCGGCCTCTGATTTGGTCGATGTGTCTCTCCCACTGTTTTCCCTCCTCTGTCTCTACTCGATAGGATCTGGGTCCGGTTATCCCGATGACTTTGGTGGGTACCCAAATGGGTCCCCCTGTGTAATTGTGTGCGTAGACCGGGTCCCCTATGGAAAAGTTCCTACACTTCCCGGTGGAGTCTACTGGGGTTTCAGGACTGTAGTTCGGGTAGATCCTGTCTAGTGTCGATCGGAACTTCCGGCCCATCAATAGCTCTGCTGGGCTGCGGTGGGTTGTCGCATGGGGTGTGATGTGTTGGGCCAACAGCATTCTGTCGATCTTTTCCTGCCAGTCCCCTTTGCCCATTCTCCTGAGAGTTTCCTTGGTCGTTTGGACCATTCTCTCCGCCTGCCCATTCGTGCTCGGATGTGCAGGTGCTGATAGGGCATGCCTGATTTCTAGTCCAGCTAGGAAACTCTTGAATGATTGTGAGGTGAACTGAGGCCCATTGTCGGAAATGAGAATGTTCAGTATTCTGTGGGTAGCGAACAGCTTCCGCAAGGCTCTTATGGTTGATTCAGTGGTGGTGGATTTCATCTGGATTACCTCTAGCCATTTAGAATATGCATCGACCACTATCAAGTATGTTTGCCCTTGGCAAGGCCCAGCGAAGTCGACGTGTAGTCGGGCCCATGGGGCTGTGGGTGTCTCCCACTTTCTAGGGCTGGCTGCTGGGGGGGGGGGGGCCTGGTCGGGTTTCTTGACAGGGTATGCAGGTAGAGACCCAGGTCTCTATTTCCTTGTCTAGTCCCAGCCACCACACATAGCTTCTGGCTAGGGTTTTCATGCGGACTATCCCCAGGTGGCCCTCGTGTAGCATTGTTAGTACTCTGTTTCTTAGTTGTATTCTCTCCCCATAGAATACAGCCCTTTTGTATGGATAACTCAGCCTGTCTGTTTTTATAAGGCTTGAACTCGTCCCCTTCTATGGATTCCGGCCATCCCCTCCACACCCAGTTCGAAATCCACACCATGGTTTTGTCGCGCACCGTGAGTGTGGCGATTTCTACAGACGTCATCAGTCCGGGCTGTAATTCTTCTACTAGAAGTACTGTGGTGGAGGGTGCCGGGTTTTCGACGAGATCAGGGAGAGGGCAGCAACTCAATTCATCGGCATTTGAAATGTTTTTTCCTGGCCGGTGAATTAGGTGGTAGCTGTATGCGGCCAGGAACACAGCCCATCTTAACATCCTGGGTGATAGGATGTTTGGTGTGGGTTTGTCTCCGGCAAGGATTCCCAGCAGGGATTTGTGGGCAGTAATAAAGTTGTATTGTCTTCCCTACAGATATTCATGGAAGTTCTTGATCCCTGCGGCAAGCGCTTCCTTATCAATCTGACTATAGTTCATTTGTGGTTTGGATAAAGTCTTAGAGAAATATGTGATGGGGCTTTTGTCCCGTTGGGTAATTTGTGGCTGAGGACTGTTCCGATTCCATAGGGGAAGGCATCGCATGTGAGTGTCAATGGCACTGTCTCACTATATTGCATGAGGACGCTGTCGGATGTCAGGATGTTCTTTATTTTTTTGAATGCATCAGCCTCGCGTTGTCCCCACATCCAGCTGGTCATCTTATCGAGCAGTCTATGGAGCGGTTCTGCGATGGTTGCTTTCTGTGGTAGAAAGACATTATAAAAATTGACCAATCCCAAGAAGGCTTGCAGTTCCGCTTTGTTTTTTTTTTGGGGGGGGGGGGCTTCCCGAATTGCTTTCAGCTACCCATCTGTGGGTCGGATGCCTGCTGCATCTATCAGGAACCCCAAAAATTCCACTTGGGGCACAGCAGGAACAGGTAACAGTCTTTATTTTGTGAATTAAGAAAAAGTTGCTCAGCCATGGCAGGCGCCGGCTTTTGTAGCCAGTGCTGTCCAAAGCTTCAGCCACTGACAGGGCTTTATTTCTCCGACCAGTGGCTGGGCCAATGAGTGGAGTCTGCTAGCTCAGTGATCCCCAACCTTTTTGACGCCGCGGCCCGGTACCGGCATCAGCTGGGCGCCGCCATCTTTTTTTGACGAAAAAGTGCTTCCGGTGACCTCACCGGAAGCACTTTTTCATCAAAAAAGATGGCGGCACCAGCGCTTCCGGTGAGCTTTTCCGGGTAGAAATGGCTTTCTACCTGGAAAAGCTCACCGGAAGCGCTGGCGCCGCCATCTTTTTTTGATGAAAAAGTGCTTCCGGTGAGCTTTCTACCCGGAAAAGCTCACCGGAAGCACTTTTTTACCAAAAAAAGATGGCGGCGCCCAGCAACCAGCGGCCCGGTAAGACTTGTTCCGCGGACCGGTACCGGTCCGTGGACCGGCGATTGGGGACCCCTGTGCTAGCTGACTCCACTCTATGGCTATATTTGGCAATACTTAACTGGAGGCTGCTTTTGTTGATAATATATAACAAAAGTATAATGGGTTGAGGCTTCCATGACAATTGTGTTTTCTTTGATATTGTTGGTGTTTGATTGTAATTTTTGACAGAATATTTTTTGACATGTTCCTAACCACAATGATGCTCAAATGACAAAATATGTGCCATGATGTCACTCCATGCTCCACCTTTCTTATATGTTTATGATGTTAGTCCTATTAACACTGACACATTTCCTCACTTGTTCCCCTCTTACATGGATGGGTCATGGAAGCATTATATATTCAGCCTCAACACTTAGTGATAAAAGGTCTGAAAATCTGAAAGATAGCCTTAAGTAACATGAAATTCCCACTATGATAGTGTGGATTCTTCAAATAGGACATTCACAATTGCTCATCTTGTGTACCTTGGGAAGAAAAGAAAATGGTTTCATATTAAAGGTAGTCCTTTCCCTTGTATGCTTACTTTTGGTAATCCTCAGAAGGGTGAGAAGATAGAAGTCTGAAAACATGGTGTTGCAGTTACCTCTCTTTTCTATAGTTCAGCTGATAACTGCTTCTCACTGCTTCTCACTTATTTTTTAGATACAGTCCAAAGTATTAGCTAACTTAACCAAAACCATCAATACCCCTCCTGAGCGATTTGGCCTGACTTTGTTATTTTGTTTTTGATGGAGGAATTTGTTTGTACCATATTCATTATCATACAGCATTCTGTTGTCCCATAGGAATATGAAACTACTGGTATGTTTGTCAGCTAATTTGTATTGTAAAACTATATGCCACAATATATTCCCAGATAACAAATACTGTTTTTTTCAGCTTACTTAAATGTGAACTTCCTTGCTCCAAGTTTCATTTTAACAGTGGTGCTGTTGTTTTTTTTAAACAGGTCCAGCAAGTAATCTGGCTCATTTCCATCCTATAACAGCACAAAAACCCGTAACAATTCTTGTTGTATATTCTCAAGAAGCCTGTTTACAGCATACCGTCCTAAGTTTTGCTGAATTTCTACAGGAATACTGTAAATGTAATGTTATAATAGACCTGTGGCAAAAACGGAGAATTGCTGAAATAGGAACTGTGCAATGGCTTGCTACTCAGAAAGAAATTGCTGATAAAGTCATTTTTCTTTGCACAACCCACTCAAGTGCTTCATGTGATTCAACCTGTAAGAGCATTATAGAAAACCAGAAAAATTCTGAATGTATGTTCACTCTTGCATTACACTTTTTCTTCAGTGATTGGAAAATGAATTCTTCTCTTTGCAAGTACATGGTTGTTTCTTTCAATGAAACACATCCAGATCCACTTCTCCCAACTCCATTGAACATCTGCCCAAACTATTTTTTAATGAAAGATATAGACTCCTTTTGTAGAGACCTTTACTTTTCACAGAGCCAGAAGTATAAAGCTGCAAAGAGAAGCAGACCTGGGAATTTAAGATTAGTCCTGGATTGCAGGTATGGTATTAAAATAGAGATTGTCACTCTTTTTTTCTCTTCTAACTATAAAAGTGAATTATTATTGTAAGTTGGAAAACTGATACTATAGTTTTTGATATTATCTTCTCTACTTAAGAAAGTGAATGGTAACAATTTCATAACATACATGGTTGCTAATTCATTTCCAGGGATTAAAAGGACTGTGAAGGACATGACCAGGCTGAGCCCAAGGGACGAGTCAAATGGATCATGAGTCCCTGCATGCCTGCAAGAGATCAAACTCCAACTCCCTTGAATGCCTTAATTCCTGCTCATTTCCCTCAACTGTTAGTAGCTCAGATTTTTGTAGACATCTTAAGCTTACAATATATCTTTATACTCATTTGAACTGCCTGAATTACCTGATTTCCCCAGAGCTTGATAGACTGGCAATTATATTTAAATCACTGTACAATTTTGGCCCACGATAGAAATTATGTCCCTGCTTCCTATGTCAGATATGGATTTCTCAAGTGTTTCATTTGCACAATATAAAACTTGATTACTGCAAACACCTATTGGTTCTTCCTCACAAGCTCTTCTACTGACTCATACGCTCATGATTTGCTGGCAGCTAAACGCGTTGGCTGAACCTGAGATATGTATTACTTCAGTCAGAATTTACAAATCATAGCTGTTTTGTTCTCCTTTGTTATAAGAAGCTTCCCCCACACTTGCTTTAAAAACGTAAACAGCCTTGAATTTAATGGAACATGAATAAGGAATTTACACAAATACGTTGTTTGGGGAGAGAGATTGCTCCCTCAGTCTCACCAGTGTCACGTGCCAACAGGATTCAGCACTCTTGCTCCTCCTGTTTAAGGTCTATATAAAACTGCAGGCTGAAGTAATTCATCAGCTCAACAATCAGTATCTTCAGCATGCTGATAATAGATACATCTCAACCCTGAACCAGCCAAACATCCCCCAGATCTTGGATGGGGCAGTATTCAAATCTAGATGATGTTCAACACACAACTTCTGCTTGAACAGCATGAGGCCTTTGCATAGCTGTCTTGTGGAACACTTGGGCCTTTCAGACAGCCACTCATGCCAGACTCCCTTTTTGGTTTGATTTCTGCAAAATAGTCTGCACTGCCCTTGAATATTACTGCCGCAACATAGGTAATGATGGGAGTTCCTTAGTATATTCTTCACAAGCTGCATTGCGTAAGTAAGATCCTACTTTCTCCAAAGATTTGTGTAACTCCTACTCTGATTGGCATTTTCCCAAGATTTTGGGTAAAGAAAATATGGTCCCCTTGTATAGGGTTTTGGAATTAAGAATGATGTCTAAAGGTATTTTAAAAATATATTTCACATTATAATATTTGGTGGGTCTGTTTTTTTGTGAGAAAGAGATGATAGATATATAATTGTGACTTTCCTGGAGCTGCCTCGGAGTCAGTCAGTCTAAATCTAATGAAATAGAAGTGGCTTGTAGATGCTTGGACAATGTGTGTTTAGTTGCCAGGAAGTTTTGAAAGCTGCAATCTCTGTACCAGTTCTGCCAACTGGCATTATTCCAATAGGTGCCCAGGTCTGGTGTCCTGAACGTGTGCACATCTTGTTTGTGTTTTTGATTTTGTTTTTTTAGAAAAACTGCGTTGTATTTTCTATCGCAGATTTCACTAAGATCATAATAAAATATTCAACCAGAATAGTATTTTTCAAGCTTGGCAACTTTAAGATGTATAAACATCAACTCTCAGAATTCCAGAGCCAGCATGGCTGTCTGGCTAGGGAATTCTGGAAACATGGCACGGCTGGCTCATGAATTCTGAGAGTTGAAGTCCGCACATTTTAATGTTGCAAGTTTGAGAAACACCGAACTAGAGGAAAGGGTTTAGAGAAATATTTAATACCATTATACCTTATTTTTAAATGATTCCAGAGGAAATAATTTTTAATCTGTTTAATTTATTTAAAACACAAAACTAAGGATCAAGGAAATGTTCTATTATTTCTAAATAATACTGGATCACCACACAAATGCAGCTCTTTCACGTAACATACGAACACCAAAGCGCTGCCATTCTCGTTGATAAATCCAGAGCTCCTGTGTTGTATCTAGGCAGGCTAGAACAGCACCACCTTTCCAAGCAATCAAACGTGGATCCATGTCCTAATATTAAATGGATATAAAAATACCATACAATTAAAAATCAAACACGATCCCATGGCTGGTTCCTTGAACTCTTACAAATATGGCTAAATTCTAAAGGCTCTAAAAGAACAGATAGAACTAACTCACTCTTGAAAAAAAAAAACATATTGTTACTTTGCTGACTGCTCCAAAGACTGTCATTGCTTTAATTGTCAAATAGATTCCAGTGCATACTTTTTATCATAGACTAATTCAATTCAATACATATTAGAATAATAAAACTGATGCTACATGTAGTCATTATCTACAAGAAGATTTTGTTATTATCACCTACAAAAGATTTCGCCAATCCCCATATAAGTGTACTTCCATACATACAAGTGCCATGGGTAGGTAATTCTAGAAAACCCTTGGATGCTGCCACTGAGCCTTTGGGGGATGTGGTCATTTCAATCTATGCTCACAGCAGTACTGTGGGTGAAGCATCCTTCTGAACGGAACAGAGAGCCTATTGCTCATCTCAAAATGTGTCTGATTACTGCATAATTAATTCCCTCACATTTCCTAATGCTACTCCCAGCTGCTCTCCTATTTGAAAGCCTGCATAAATCCATACAAAGATACCTTTGGTCTTGTAATGACTTCTACGTTTTCAACAACTCTCCTGAAAGAGGGAGGCATTTTGTTGAGAATTCTGTGTTGAAGAAATTCTTGAGCCTTGTGGAACATCAAGCCACCTCCAACTACAAGGATTGAACTGTACATTTTCTTTTTGGTATCATCTGATGCTAGAAAAGTGCACATGAAAGAATTTTAAATAAACTGTAGCAAACAAATTAAAAAAATAATGATTAATACAATAATTGGAAAAGTATTAAAACTATTTCATACACACACTGATTAAAATTTACTGTGACTAGCATAAATCTTGCCTACAATAATTAGTATTACATATCACACAAAATAATACAGTTTTCTTACCACAGCAGTCAATGCTATGCAAAATTGCTTTGTCAAGACCTAAAGCTTTCCCTTCAAACTGAGATACAGCAGTTTTTCGGGACATGTGAGTTGTTAGCATTTCTTCAGATTCATTTCCACCAATAATGCAGTCACTATGAGAACTGCCTAAATCCACTTCAGAATGATAAACATTTTCAGCAACACTTGCAGATTGGCCTCGGAGATCTCCATCAAATCCACCCAGCTTGGTCATGGATTTTCGATCAGCTGTTGCTTTTGCAGACTGGAAAAAGGAAAAATAAGATTATCTCTCAATAAAACCAAGCACAAATCCTGCCCATAACTTGGGCTGAAGACCACCTAAAAAGGCTCAATGCTGTTTCTGTCCCTTCAAGTTTATTTCCTAATTAGACCCAATTCTTAATGTAAAAAAGTGTTGCAATTGACTCTCCCATCCAAAACCATAGGCATGTATACATTGGATGAGAACTGACAACACACAACTGAATCAGTACTTAATACTTTGCCAATTTTTAAAAAATATATCAAAGTAGTTGACCACAAAAATCCAGAAAAACACTTAAAAAACCCTCAACAATTTCTCAACAAATTCACAAGCTTTTCTATTCACCAATAAGTTGCTGTTGAAAATAAGAAAATGCATGAGCTGTAAATGACTACAGATGTGCCTGCTAAAAAGTGAAAGAATACAGAGAAGAGCATAAATCTGAAGGCTAAAACAAAGGAAGAACATATTCTCATAAGCACCTGAAGGCAGGACAAGAAACAATGGATGGAAACTAATCAAGGGGAGAACCAACTTAGGAGTAAGGAGAAATTTCCTGATAGTTAGAACAATTAATCAGTGGAACAACTTGCCTCCAGAAGTTGTGAATGCTCCAACACTGGAGATTTTAAAGAAGAGTTTGGACAACCATTTGTCTGAATTGAGATAGGGTTTCTTGCTTGAGCAGTTGGACTTTCCAACTTTGTTATTCTATTCTGTTACACCTTTGGAAATGAGCCAGGAATTAGCATTTGCCTGGGTGGGAAGGTTTGTATAGAGCATGGTTGACTCAGGAATTCCGAGAGTTGAAGTCCATGGTTGTACAGTTGCCACAGTTGCCCATCCCCAGTATAGTGAATGGTAACCCTTTTTCTAATACCTAAACAGGACTTTCCTTCCTTTTCAGTCTTTCTCTGTTCAGTTACATTTTTTCCATCCTTTTTCATCTAGTTGTAGTACTAACAGGAGAGAGCAGGGACATATATGTAAAATCAATTCACCCAGGAGTGATGGATCTTGCATCGTATTGCCAGACTTACCATCTTGACTACTTCGATTCCCCCACACTGGGTGAATATGTGCATTTGTATCTCTTATGTTTTTATGTTACTAGGTAGTTGTGAGAGAAAAAGTTTGGTAGAAGTGAGGCATCAATAATTTTATACATAGAGGTACTTTGTTTTATAATTTAAGTATTTCAATTAATACGAATGTGTGGTTTTTTTTATCCATATCCTTCCTTTTCTATGTGGCTTCCGGCAGGGGTATATGCTAGTGTCTCACATATATTTTAGGGGGAAACTGAAAAATTGGTTTCAGCTGAAATTGGCAAGGTTAGGTTGACAAAACAGACACTCTGATTGCAAATAATATTTATCTCTATCTTTTTCCCACTGCCTATTCTTTTCAGGGCAGCAAATTTAAATTTAGAGTATTCTTTTTTCGTAAACATAGTGTATGCTTCTTGCCTATATTGGATATTCCCAATGTAGCCAATAATTACATCCATTCAACTCAATTCTATAACTTCCAAATAGGAATCCTATATATCGATTTTAGTTTTTTTAAAAAAAAACCCTGAAAAAGAAGGTATCTAGGTAACAAAAACAAATTAAAGTATCATAGTGATTATAGTTCAGGATAGTTGAACACTGTAAACGTACATATAAGCACACAAGCACAATTACACATAGAGAGACTGTGCCAATTGTAATAGCTGTCTCTTGTCCTCTTTGGCATGATTGCAAGAACTTCTAAAATGTCTTCTTTTATTTTAAATTATGTGCAGTTTCTTATGACACCTGTGTATTAAACACTAGATAATCTTATAGATAGCTGAAACAAGCCAGCTTTATAAACGATAAGTATTAGTTAAAAAAGCATGCTTAAGTTATAACTACCACATGTAGTTGAGAAGCCCTGATCTGACTATATTCTCATCCTCATAACCTGATACTTTTCAGATCTGCTGGTCTACATTATCCTTAGTCAACATAGCTATGGGCACACAGAAATTCTAGCCCAACTTAGTGGGAAATGTCAGAACATGGCAGGTCATATGCATAGAATTCATCTACCAATACTCTGGAAAGTGTTAAGTAAATAGAATGAGACACCGAGTTCACTGTACAGTATACAAGGGGGGGG